ACTCTATGCAGGCAAGCTGGCTCTCAAAGAAATAGAAGATGAAAGATAGAATTGAACTACTAGACATACCTATGTTTCTCTCCCAAAAGTACCAAGATAAGTGCAGGGGCAAAGAGATCTCCCTCTATGCTGAAGAAAACCTCAGCAGAAAAGACTAAGTGTTCTCCCTTAACACAATTCTTGGATTCATTTTTATAAAAAAAAAATCAGACTAATGGTTACCACCAGTGGTTCTTAAAGGTGTCCATTGACCTCTGAAGGTCCTGGTGATCCTTTTGGGGGCTCTGAAAAACATCAAAAACAGAATTGTTATTTGCCATTTTCACTGTGCTGACATTTGCACTGATGGTGTAAACACAATGGTGGTAAAACCGTTAGGCACCTTAGCATGAATCAAGGTAATAGCATCTAAGTGTACTTGCAGTAAAAAATTTTGCCACTTTCCTGTTAAGAATATCCTTGATGACACAAATCATAATTTAATTAAATCTGACCCTTGAGTGGACATTTTAATAATATGTGATAAAATGGGAAGTATATAAAAAGTACTTCTGCTACATAGCAAAGTATGATTTTCTCAAGGAAAGGTAGTTTTGTGATTGAATTGTAAGCTGAAGTAGCTGTGGTTTTCAGAGAACAGCATTTTTATTTAAAAGAATGACAAAAAAATACTGAGACTTAAGTATTTAGCAGTTATTTTCTCTAAGTCTGAGGAAATAACTGATTATAGCTAATGATAAAAATCAAGTTTTTTATCTTACTCAAAATGAAACAGAAATTAAAATTTTAGAAAATTTCTTTCTACCTCTGTGAGTTTGAGCTTTCCAATACTTAGATTTGCCCTAATGAGACCAGTGGTGATGTTAAAAATGTGATTTTTTGATATTAAGTAATGAAATGTGTCAACATTTAGAAAGTCTACATAACTAAGTAAACCAGTATCTTCCAAATGATCAACACCTGATGGTACAAGATTATACATGAATAAAAGATCCATTCAAAGTGCATGATTCACCAGTGGATCTTAGTGTAACAGAGAATAAAAAGATCATTGAACAGGAAAAAGATCACCGGTTTCCATGGGTTGAAGACAGGGAGGGATAAATAGGCAAAATAAAGAATTTTTAATGTAAACTGTTCTGTACAATAATAGTAGATATATGGTATTATACATTTGTCAAAACCCACAGAACGACCAAGAGTGAACTCTAATGTAAACTATGAAACTTGAGTGATAATGACATGTCAAGGCAGGTTCATCAACTGTAACAAACATATTACTGTGGTATGAGATGTTCATAGCAGGTGAGGTTGTGCATATATGGGAACAGGAAGTATATAGGAACTCTGTACTTTCCACTCAATTTTGCAGTGAACCTAAAACTGCTATAAAAAATAAAATTTGGAAACCGGAAGCTGAGTTCTTAGTTCTCTTTCCCATCTTGCAAGATGGCGGGTGAAAAAGTTGAGAAGAAGCCGGATACTAAAGAGAAGAAACCTGAAGCCAAGAAGGCTGATGCCAAGAAGGCTGATGCCGGTGGCAAAGTGAAAAAGTCTAACCTCAAGGCTAAAAAGGTTAAGAAGGGGAAGCCACACTGCAGCCGAAATCCTGTTCTCGTCAGAGGAATAGGCCGATATTCCCGTTCTGCCATGTACTCTAGGAAGGCCATGTACAAGAGGAAATACTCAGTGGCTAAATCCAAGGTTGAAAAGAAAAAGAAGGAGAAGGTCCTCGCCACTGTTACAAAACCAGTTGGTGGTGACAAGAATGGTGGCACTCGGGTGGTTAAACTTCGCAAAATGCCTAGGTACTATCCAACAGAAGATGTTCCTCGAAAGCTGTTGAGCCACGGCAAAAAACCGTTTAGCCAACACGTGAGAAGACTGCGAGCTAGCATCACTCCCGGGACCATCCTCATCATCCTCACCGGATGCCACAGAGGCAAGAGGGTGGTTTTCCTGAAGCAACTCGGCAGTGGCTTGTTACTTGTGACTGGACCTCTGACCCTTAATCGAGTTCCTCTGCGAAGGACACACCAGAAATTTGTCATCGCCACCACCACAAAAATTGATATCAGCAATGTGAAAATTCCTAAGCATCTCACCGATGCTTACTTCAAGAAGAAGAAGCTGCGGAAGCCCAGACACCAGGAGGGTGAGATCTTCGACACAGAAAAGGAGAAATACGAGATTACAGAACAGCGCAAAGTGGATCAGAAAGCTGTGGACTCCCAAATTTTACCAAAAATCAAGGCAATTCCTCAGCTCCAGGGCTATCTACGATCTCTGTTTGCCCTGACAAATGGAATTTATCCTCACAGATTGGTATTCTAAATTTTTACAAAGAACCTAATTAAATAACTGAAAGATAAAAATAAAATAAAATAAAATAAAATTTGTTAATTAAAAAAAGATCATTGATATTTTTGATTCCACACTGCAACCACCTTTAAGAAACCCCCACTTACCAAGCTTTGGTGTAGCATCAAATAGAATATCCTCAATTATCTGAAAAATTCTTTTTCCAAATATATACCTCTAGGAGGCTGAATTTTCTTTATATACAAGGTATTTCCACTAAAAAGCATATCACAACAGATTAGATGCAGAAGCAGATATGAGAACCAGTTGCCTTCTCTTAAGCCAGATTTAAAGAGCTTTGCTAAAATGTAAAACAATGCCACTCCTTTCTGAAATACTTTTCATAAATGTTGTATTAACATATTTAATTTTTACTGAATATTTTTAAAATTTAAATTCTCACATGGTAAATATCAAAATATGCAACACACATAAACACAAGCTCTTTGGGCTCCTCAATAATTTTTAGAACTATAAAAGGGACTCTGAGACCAAAAGGTTTAAGAACTGCTACCATGTACCCATAGGTTTATTTTACATATAGTAGGGAATATTCATTGAAACGTTAAGTCACTTCTAGAAAAAATTTAGGTCTGTCTTCAAAGCTGACCGTCAGTTGTCCTTTGACTTATGGAATGGCAATCAACAAGTAAAGGGCCTCTTAGGTTGTTAGTGTGGAGCTGAAGAATGAACTCTATTCAACTGCAGAACTTAAGCTCCTTTGAGAGAGAATGTGAGAAACAAACAAGAGGCCTAACAAATGATTACACAATTCCTCCCATTTAGATTAACCACTTCTGTATGAGCGTCGACTATAGTTGATAGTCACAGATGAATGCGCACAGCAAACATTGACTTTAGCCGACAGCCGTGATATGAAGGCGCATAGCTGAGCGTCGACTTTAGCTGACAGCCATGATATGACTTTTCTAATTTTTCATTTATCAAAATAAAATTGTGAACATTTAAAAATAATGTAATAAAAACATATATGTATATGTTACCTATTCTGATTTACATTACAAGTAAAGCTGCCTGTAAAGTAAAACAAGCTTTCAGTGCTTTAAAACTTCCCTCATCACACAAGAACAAAACAGATTCGTCATCAATGCACAGCGCAAACTATCAGGCGAACTATGAGTGCCGGCTGTGGGCAAGGTTTTGTGGCCGGTGAGTGCTGTACCGAAGTGGTTAAGAAGGTGAAGAAAGAGAGAGATATTATTTGCAAACACAAGAAAGTAGAAGACTGAAGTGTGGTTTAGCAAGAGGTAAAAAATGTAAATGGTCTGGAGCCACTTCCACCTGAACTATGTAAGATTCACAGTCCAGCACTTGTTATCTCTAGAAAATCTACATGGTTTCACTGAGACTCAATTTCCACATTTATATTATACTATAAAAAAAGGATAACATGTCTCCTAGGGTTTTAAGGATTAAATAAGGCAATCAACAACCCTTACAAAGTACCTGACATTCGTCTCTTTGTTCAACAAAATGAACATCTTTTATGACATTGTGATTATTATCGTCAGGAGGGCAAAAAGGATAAAAGTCTAAAAAACCCTAATCTCAAATCTAGGTACGTGTGAGAATTTGGCAAGTAGATAAAGTATAAATTACATTACCATTTACTGTATTTTATAAAATAATCTTAATGAATATGAAAAACACAGAAGTCCTCATATGTTATTAAAGCTGAATAGCTAAAACCAAGTAAGATTAAACTCTTAAATAGAACTCAAATCATTAAGTTATTTTAGCTACCCTAGATGGCAGCCATGCAATTTTTTAAATATTAAATAGGACGGACTGTTCAAAAAGCACGAGGAAAGGAGTTAGGGAGACCCTTGTTCAAATTTTACTTTGCAGAGTTGCTGACAGGATCAGAGCCAATGTGCTTTAAAGTATCTATCTAACACCTTGTATTACTTTGCTGTAACAAAGGCTGCCATAACAAAGTACCAAAGTCTAGGTGGCTTAAACAACAGAAATTTATTTTCTCACTGTTCTGTTGGCTAGAAGTCCAAGATCAAGGTATTGGCAGGTTTGGTTTCTACTAAGGCCTCTCTCCTTTGGCTTGTAGGTGGCCATCTTTCACATGGTTGCCCTTCTGTGTCTATATCCTAATCTCCTCTTCTTAGGACACCAGTCATATTGCATTAAGGGTCATATGATCTCATTTTACCTTAACTGCCTCTTTAAAAACTCCATTTCCAAATACACACACATTCTAAGGTACTGGGGATTAAGACCTCAACATATATACATTTTGGAGCTATGAGCTTATAGCACATCTCATTTGTTTAAAGCATCTAGCATTGTGCCTGGCACACAGTGGATCCTCCATATAGGTGCTATTATTAAGAGAAAAAAAAAAAAGAGGCCTGGCAAGGTGGCTCATTCCTGTAACTCCAGTACTTTGGGAGGCCTAGGCAGGAGGATCACTTGAGGACATGAGTTTGAGACCAGCCTGGGTAACATAACAAGACTCCATCTCCACAAAATTTTGTTGGAAAATTAGCTGAGTGTGATGGTGCATGCCTGTAGTCCTAGCTACTTGAGAGGTTGAGGTGGGAGGATCACTTGAGCCCAGGAATTCAAGGTTGCAGTGAGCTGTGATGATGCCACTGCATTCTGGCCTGGGTAACAGAGCAAAAGTCTGTCTCTAAAAAAAAAAAAAAGAAGACGAAGAAAAAGATTAGTTCCTAAAAGGATTTAATAGCATCCCATGGTAACAAGGGGGATTAGGTCTATAATTTAAAAATATTGGGTTGTTTTGACTAAAGGACTAATTTGACTCTTTAAGGGAGCAGATAATCCCTTTAGGAATCATAACAGGTCCAGAATGGAAAACAGAGAAAAGTTAGGGTTCAACATTGGGTTCAAAAGTTAGGGTTCAAAAGTTAGGGTTTCAATGTTGTTCTAAGCCCATTAAATCTGGGGGGGGGACTTCCTTTACATTCCCTCTACAATGGTAGAGACAGACTTTCTCTCACTGACATGAGGTCATGAAACTAGGTGTATGCATTTGGACCTATATACATGTATCAGCACATCAGGGTATATTCTACCTCAAATAAAGGCAAGATAAGAGACTGGAGGATAGAATAATTCTCACCCACCCTTCCCAGTGTATTCTCTACTTAAAGGGATCTAAAAGAGTTGTGAGGTGAGAAGAAAAATGGAGAGATTTTTATATTAGACCTCCTTATCCACCTGGCCTCAGAAGTCTGCCACAGAGCCAGATCTGGGAAAGGTCAAATATGATTGGGTTCAAAAAGGAGGTACTTACCATTGCCTGTATCCTGCACCTCCTCAACATCTATGCAACAAGGCAGTTAGGCTATTTTCTGAAAATCCTAATGCTAATTTACACAAGTTTACTTATTTATTAAAGGTTTTTTGATACTGATTAATTTTTCATCTAATATGTATAAAATACAAAGCAACAAGAGACTGTCATCTAAAGGAATCATCATAAATCACATTATTATTTAAAAATATTTCTTAGTAATTTGTTTCATGAATTCAGACTTTTTACTTAATAGCATTTGAGTGTAGTGAAGTACAATGAAGAGACATGAAAATTACTTTTTAAATCAGGACAGAAAAAACAATTTGATGGTGCAATCTTTTTAAAGCACTTTATTAAGATGTTTCTCACAAACTAAAGGAAACTAGAGGAAAACTTATTTACTAGTAAGAGAAAAATTCTTATTTTATAACACAAGTGAAAAGCACCAAAGAGAATTTGGCATCATAACTCTGAACTCCAGAGTTCCCTGTTTCCAATTGTTTTAATCTACACTGTAACACACTACTTAAAGCTTTCACACATATATACTTACATATCTCATCAAACACAAATCTTTCCTTGTAAATACACAGATTAAGATTAAATATAAAATACCATCTTTTTAGAAATTAGTACCAAAGCAGATCAGAACACAAATATTACTAATTGAAGAACCAGTTATTCATTTTTTACTTCAGATGGCATCAAATGTTCAACAATATTTTAAAGACTTCTATATAGGCTATGAAACAGCCTATTTTTCTTTTATGAGAGAAATGTACGTACAGTACCCTTGATTATACCCCTGCAAATGGGGCATTTTCTTAGAGAAGGGGCACATTCCTGGCACACTACCAGATGACCACAAGGAATAAATACAATGGAAACTTCTTTGTCCATACACACTTTACAAGTTCTTTCTTCTTGCAACCTTCTCAATTGTTCTTCCAGTGACAGTCCTAATAACAAAAAAATAACTTTTGTGAAATTCAGTTTCCATTTTATATCCCATAAAAAAAAATAAAGGTAATATTTCATGTTGGTTTTAAGTTTTAATTTTGTCTTACCTGAAACATCTTCTGTTGGAATATACTTCATATTCTTATCCACTGAGGAAAGAAAAAAAACATACAAAAAGCATCACTCTACTAAATATAAAGCTGCTTCACCTATTTTTTTCACCCACTACCTTTTAAATAATGTAGATTCTAGCTATATATTACCATTGTTACATGTAGGCATACTACTTGAGTAATAAAAGACTTTTACTTTTTTGGAACAAGTGAAATGTATAGATTATAGTTTGTTAATTAGATTTATTTTGCTCATCAGACAGATGTACATAATCCTAAGGATTTCTAAAATAATTTTCCCAAGAAACTCACCAAATAAATTCTTATGTAACGTTGAGTCAATTTCTTTTAGACAGTTTTTGAAGATGTTGGCTGCAGCATTTCCTTTAACTAAAATGGTATCAATCAGTTCTCTTGCTTGTAAAGGTATCTGTGTTTTTTGTTTAATAATATCATGTTCCTGTTTATTAATTACATTGGCCTTTAAAAGATTATCCAGGATTGGAAGCACACACGTTAACTGTTGAAAGAGAGCCATTCTATTCTTCCGAATTAATGACAAGTCATCTTCATTTTAAAAAACAAAAGAAGGAAAAATTCATTAGATTTTAAACTCCTTCAACTATATTCATATAGTCACAAATAACCCTACAAACAATTTCGGCACTAAATAGAGGTCAATAAGAACAAAATAACTTGTCTGCATTTTAATATCTGTCATTTAAAAAACTTCCAGAAGATTTAGCTAAGATATATAGTACATACAGGATCTCTGTTTCTGTAATTTTTTTTTTTTGAGACAGAGTCTCGCTTTGTTGCCCAGGCTAGAGTGAGTGCCGTGGCGTCAGCCTAGCTCACAGCAACCTCAAACTCCTGGGCTCGAGTGATCCTTCTGCCTCAGCCTCCCGGGTAGCTGGGACTACAGGCATGCGCCACCATGCCCGGCTAATTTTTTGTATATATATCAGTTGGCCAATTAATTTCTTTCTATTTATAGTAGAGACGGGGTCTCGCTCTTGCTCAGGCTGGTTTTGAACTCCTGACCTTGAGCAATCCGCCCGCCTCGGCCTCCCAAGAGCTAGGATTACAGGCGTGAGCCACAGCGCCCGGCCTGTTTCTGTAATTTTTAAGTCTATATATTCACATGTCCTAGAGCCCTGCTTTTCCTTTATTCTGTTGAAAGTAAGCAGAGAATTTTAGAAGACAGTAAAAATTTCCCAACTCTATATTCACCCCCAACCCATGGAATTAATAATACTGACTTCTGTTTGCATCATATCACTTTGCTTTTATAAGTACTTTCATATTAATTATCTCATTTGATACAAAAATCCTATCAATTAAACAAGGTAAATGACTGCCTCTCATTTTCAGATAGGGAGAAAAAGACTCAGAAAAAAATGAGTGACCTGTCCAAAGTCACAGATAGAGTGGGGTGCAGAACCAGGTCTCCTAGACTAGTATTCTTTTCAGTACTCCACACTTAAGAAACAGTAGTATGCTTGGGCTGTGAAGTCAAGGCAGACCAAGGTTCCCATCCTCACCTTGCCAAGCTATGTGCCCTAATCTCCCTCCATACTACTTAGTTTCATTTACAAAATATACATAATAACAGTATCTTCTTCAGAGTTGTGAAGATTAAACAATACATGTAAAGCATTAGCACAATATATAACACATAGTTCACTACTATTACTACATTTTATAAATGTCTAGGTTTATAACAATTTTTTTATTATTTATTTATTTATTTTGCTTCTCCTCTGGCAATGGACTGATGGATATAACAATTTTTTTAAAACTACATATGAATCAAGCCTGATTGTGCTTACAAAGCAAATGTTTTTCCTTTACTCTCACGTTACCTAAAATTCCATAGTTAATTTATATTTATCGAATATGGCTATGCGGTTTTTTGGTGCTTTTATCACTATAAAATTTAATTGCCTGTTTTCAAAACTTTCCAAAAAATTTTTAGAAGTATACCTCTATAAGGTATAAGCTTAATGAGAAATAAATTATAAAAAGAAGTCTATTTTCCTTCCCCTTTTACATCTAACAAGTAAAACTGCTCTATTCATCTCCAAACTACAAAATTGCCCTCTCTGACCAGAACTTACCCTTCTACCTTAATTCTCCTCACTGCTAACAAATTTGTTCCTTCACCTTTTCAAGATGTCCATGTCATTCCCAATTCTACTAGCACAAGAGCTGTCTCCTAGCTTTGCTTCAAATCTCACATTCTAATCTAGGTATCAATCAGGTGTCTCAGTGATGTTCTCTTGTTAGCACCCTTAAGTCTTCCTCCCTATTCCTTATTTGGCCTTTTCCCTAATAATTCTGCCAAATCCATAATTCAAGACTATTCTCTGGCTCCCACAAAGTAGAACAAAGTCACAAAACTAAGGTGACTAGATTTATAACAGTGATTTATATAACCTTAGCTGGGTTTCACTACTGCTTAACAACCCTTAAATCTTTTCATTTTTCTGAGGCCATTTTTTCACCTAGTCCCTCCCACTTCCCAAATCAATCTACTTAATAATAAAAAATTTGTTTATGTGCTAGACACTGTGCTAAAGTGTTTTACTTGCAACATCTCATTTAATTCCTACAGCAACCCTATGGGATTAGTGCTATTTTACAGATAAGAAAGCAAAGAAGTATCTTCCAATCCAATACCTCTATTTATACTACATATGCAACCTTCACTTCTCTGCTGGCTCTTTAACCCTCTTTAAAGTATTAGCCTCCCCAGATAATCTACATGCTCCTTGAGAGCAACCTCCATGATTAGCACAGTATTTGGCACTGGTGCTCATGCTCAATAAATATTTCTTGGAGGAAAAAATGACTACTCAAAATACTTGGTTTTGGAGCCTGAGGCTTAATACAATCCGGATGAATACCAAAATCAGTTTCCCCACTATCCTTGGCTTGGGTAGAGGATTCTCATCAAGCCCTAGGAATTTCATCATAAATTCTGTTTTTTGTATTTTTGTATAAGGATCACCCAGCAAAGATTGGGGAGTAAAATATATTAAGAATATGATTTGAAGAAACTTTTTAAAAAAGTAGAAATAAGACCTATATCCAAGTTTAAAATCTTGCTTTTTCATAACAATTTAAATTTGTTATATATGAGGAAGAAATGCAATGTATCTCAAGAAAAGAGATTATGCTAAAATTCTCTAACTAGGATAAATTAGGGAATCTTATCAGAATATAAACATACAAAAAAGCAGTAGTCAATGGCTCTAAATGAGGGACAGTTGAGGGGGTGGAAAAGAAGTATGGCTTGGAAATGACTTAGGGGCTTCTCACAGCAGTTAGTGGATGTGACAAGGATGCTGTCCTGTAACATCTGAGACAGTCCTAGGAGCTCCATTAAGAGATAATGTGACTAACATTCCCAAATACCTGATGCCATTTCTTCAGCTTGTCTTTCCTTTTCTTCTTCTCTTTTTTCATCTTCAGCATTAAGAAGTGCAGATACGATATCACTAACTGTTTTGTAGTTCTCTCCAGTTGTTAGGATTTTACTCTGAACTGTCTGCTTTATCAAGCTTCTACTAAAGCCCATTTCCAAGGCAGACTGAACCACAGGTGTATTCATCATGACAGCATCTTCTGAAGAACTTTCTCCAGATCCAAAATGAACAACTATTTAAAAAGACATTTGCTAATATTAAATTCCACAAATATAAAACAATGGAAAAAAAATAATGACAATGGCACAATCTTTACTCTCATATCCTGGTAAGGAAGAAGAGCTATATGTATCAATTACCAGTAATTCCAATAAAAGTTTAAACTTGGATGATGGTCAAATGACAATATAATTAATATGCTGTACTTTTTAAAAATACCACTTCCCTAGCTACGTTGTAGACCCACTTAATGGAAGACTCTTTAGGGATCTGTATCTTAAAATTCCCTCAAACGATTATGATGTACAGTTGCTTCTGGAAACCAACAGGCCACACAAACTTAGACGTGAGAAATGATCTTCTCCAGCCAGGAAAAAAAAAGTAAGAGAAATCACAAAGACTTCATGGAAAAGTGGCATTACAGTTTGGACTTGAAGGACAGACAGGGTCTAGATAGGTGGATAGCTGAGGTAGATAGAATAACATAAACAAAGATGGGAGGTACAGTAAAATGGAAAACTGGTTCACCCAAAAGATACAGTGAAAAATACACAGTGAAAAAATATATACAAAGTAATATGATTTTTTAGATAGTGACAGATGATCTAAAGAAAAAAGTAGTGTGAGGTGATTAAAAGAAATCAGGAGGCAGGCAGGCAGACATCTTAGGCAGGGAAGCATTTTCTGCTAAGAGAGTCAATGCTAGCTCATTTGGTACTTTTGTGAAAAACACAAAAAGATGTAATTCTGTGAGACACTTTACTGCCATCTGCTGGAAAACTGTTATAATAAACATATAAATAAATAATATCATCAATGTGCACTGCACTCCCTTGCTCAAACACATGTGGAGTCCCTGTCTCAAAGGTAACACCAGAACAAAGATATGAATAAGGAATGAGCTATAGGAATATCTGAAAGAAGTCTTCCAGGCCAAGAGAATAGTTAAGTGTTAAATCCTTAAATCAAGGGAAAAGCTTGACATGATCAAGAAACAGAAAGAAGGTGGTAGAAGGTTTATTTTTGCACCTCTCATTTGGCACTGCTTTGACCTATTTGTTGTTGTTTCTCTTGCACATATCTTATTATCTCCCTAGTAGAAATGTCAACACTTTAAGAAGATTAGTATACTTCCTAGAATCCTCTAAAATGTCATTAATCTTAGTAGATATATAATATTAGATAACTTTCCACTATTCTTCCCTATGGCTTCAACCCCACCTTTTTAAAATACATACTATTGTTCCAAAAATTCCCATTTTATATTTGAAATTTTTTCATACATACTTGGTGGATCGGCATTTTCATCTCCGGGAGTGTCTGAAGTTGACAATAGCTATTAAGAGAAAAGTTAATAGGTAAAATCAGAAATCTCAATCAGAACACAGAAGTACTAAGTTAAGTTTACCTGAAGTAAATGCACATACTCTTTTGAAAACTAGGTAATTTATATACTTCACTTTGTTTTGTTTTATCCTAATTATCACATAGATTTCTTTAAACTTCACCTTATTCCAAATTAGAATTTAAGGATTTCTCCAGATTTAGGAGAGTAGAAAAATCTATTAATGGTTTCTCATTCCATTTAGAAAGTAAGATCTCGATTGGGTTACTCTCAAAGGGTCTCAACTCCTAACAAGTTACTTTTTGTTTTTCTGGAAAAGAGTGAAAAGACACTAAACTTCCTTCTCCAACCTACCACAAATTTGTACAGTGGCACAATGAATGATTTTTCAAAAAACTAAAAACAAATATTTTTTAAAGCCCTGAATAAACAAGTTGGTGACAAAAGTAAAAATAAGAGGTACTATTAATATGGATAGAAAATACGTAACTATAATTAACAAGACTACAAATGTAACTTCTAATATTTTTGCAATTATTATAAAGCAGAATTCAATGTTGTTAATCTTTAAAATGTATTTACCTGTTCAAGAAGATGAGGATATCTACCTTGAATTTCATCAACAAACCCCTGTCCTTTCATGCGTATCAAGAACTCACACCTAAAATGTAAGAGGATAATTATTTTAAAAATTGTTTCATACCAAAAATATAACATGATCATTCTAGAAAAATGGCTTTCAAACCCTTTTTGATTGTACCCCATAATAAAAACATTTTATATCACAACCCACTATACACACACATTTAACAGGAAAAATATTATCATAAAAACAATATACATTCTTACTATGTGTTGCATTCTGATTTAACACAACAAAAACGACAAACAAAAAGAAAAGAGTCTCTACCTGGAAAGCTAATGTTTGAAAAACTAACACAATTTACTTTGTGGCTGAACATAATTTCAGAAATAATAACTAAGTATTAACTCCTAAAATGTGATCTTTTGCAATATATTAACTGCTAAACTTTCTCCAATGTTCACTCTTCCATTACATTTGAAACACAATTCACCACCCTCCCTCCAAAAAACAGAGAATCAAATATTTTCCTCTATACATAACATAACAGTGTTTTTCAAATGTTTGTTTTTAAACTACTAGGGCTTCTCAAAGATGTTCCAAGAAGTTCACATACCATCTGTTTCCCTTGTATATCTTTTGTTTCATCAACAAATGGTAGTAAGCTGGGTGTGGTGGCTCACACATGTAATCCTAGCACTCTGGGAGGCCAAGGCAGGAGGATTGCTCAAGGTCAAGAGTTCGAGACCAGCCTGAGAAGGAGCGAGAGCCCTTCCTCTACTAAAAATAGAAAAAATCAGCCAGGCGTAGTGGCACACGCCTGCAGTCCCAGCTACTCAGGAGGCTGAGGCAGGAGGATTGCTTGAGCCCATGAGTTTAAAGTTGCTGTGAGCTAGGCTAACACCATGGCACTCTAGCCCAGGAAACACAGAGACTCTGTGTCCAAAAAAAAAAAAAAAACCACAAATGGTAGTAGACAATTGGATATCCATATGCAAAAAAGAACAAGAACCTTAACCTATGCCCATAACTAAACTAAAACTGAATCATATACCTAAATGTAAAACCTAAAACAATAAAAATTCTAGAAGACAGGAGAAAAATCCTTTTGTCCTTATGTTAGGCAAAGAATTCTAAGAAGCCAAAAACATAATCCATAAAACATAAAATTGATAAACTGCCATTGAAATTAAAAACATCTGTTGTACAAAAGATACTACTAAAAAAAAAAAGAAGACAAGCTACAGACTGAAAGAAAATTTGCAAACGTGACATCAGCAAGATGGCAGACTAGAAGACACCAGCCTTCTTCCATCCACAAAAGAAGAGACACCTATCCACAAACAAAAATAGCTCTGGGATAACTCAATAGTCCAATTAACCTAGAGCAATACGGTGAAGCAAAAAAAAAAAAAAGAAGAAGAAGAATCACACTGGGAGATCTGCTTAGCAGAGATGTGTGGAAATGGCTAAGAACAAAGGGGCTATCTGTATCAGCCATGTAGTAAGTGCCATCGCAACTCCCAAGGGCTTGTTCTAGGGAGGACCCCAGCAGCCTTTGCCACTGAGGACCTCAAAAGCCTCTGAGATAGCCATAGACTTTCTGAAGGTTTCATAGTGAAAGACCCTATGGTTCATTGGTACTGATCCCAGCAGGATACTCTGAAGAGGACACTGACAGCTCTGACCACTAAGGATGCCGCTGCACCCCTCCCCCTGAAAAGGAGCAGCTCTTGCACCACCCAGGGACAGAGCATCCCCCACCCCTCACCTCCACACATGCTCTAGACCCCCAAGCTGCAGCTGCTACGTAAGACTCTGTGCTCCGTGGCTGCTCTCCTTGCACACACTCCAGATTCCAGCTCCACAGTTGCTCTGTACACGTATATGCTCCAGACCTAGCTGTGTGTGCGCCCATATCTCAGGCACCAGAAGCACCACTGCAACAGCCTAACCAGCAACCCAGACACCAGAGCCACTATCTATCTCCTCAGGTACTACACTCTGAACCTTGACTCTGTGGCTGCTCCACAGGCATCCATGTATCAGACACCAGTGCTGCCACAACCACCATGAGGGCACCAACAAGCCAGAACCAGCACCAAGAGGGATCCCTGTGGCCATGACATCTGTCAGGGCGGGGGGAATCAAGAGGTCCCCAGCAGCCTTTGCCACCCAAAACCCTAACCCCTCACTGTTGGTGTGAACACCTGCAGCACTGGATGTTGAGAATCCTTACAATCCTCGCTGACAATGACCTGAGCTAACAGAGCTGGAGAGAAGCTCTACTCCATGGAGACAGAACCACCACACACCCCTATCGATCATCGCCCTTACACCCACCCACAAGCAAAGATCTTTCCCAAACAAAACCAGTTCATAAAGTCTAGAAGGGGTAACTGCTGTTCCATCAAATGCACAGATATCAACACAAGGCTACAAGAGAGAGAGAAAGGGGGAAAAAACCACAAAACTGCCAAAGGAACACAATAATTTTTCAGTATTCAACCCCAAAGAAATGGAGATCTATGAACTGTTGGATAAAGAATTCAAAATAATTGTTTCAAGTAAGCTTAGCAACCTACAAAAGTTGCTAAGACAATGAAATCAGGAAAATAATACATAAAATGAGAAGTTCAACAGAGAAAGGGAAATTATAAAAAGGACCAAACAGAAGTTCAAGAGCCAAAGAATATAATGAAAAAAAAAATGCAACAGAAAGCATCAACAGCAGACTGGATCAAGCAAAAGAATAAATCTGGGAACTCAAAGACAGGACATGTAAAATTATCCAGTCAGAGGAGGGGAAAAAAAACAGTGAAGAAGGCCGGGCGCGGTGGCTCACGCCTGTAATCCTAGCTCTCTGGGAGGCCGAGGCGGGCGGATTGCTCAAGGTCAGGAGTTCAAAACCAGCCTGAGCAAGAGTGAGACCCCGTCTCTACTATAAATAGAAAGAAATTAATTGGCCAACTGATATATATATAAAAAATTAGCCGGGCATGGTGGCGCATGCCTGTAGCCCCAGCTACTCGGGAGGCTGAGGCAGAAGAATCGCTCGACCCCAGGAGTTTGAGGTTGCTGTGAGCTAGGCTGACGCCACGGCACTCACTCTAGCCTGGACAACAAAGCGAGACTCTGTCTCAAAAAACAAAAAAAAAAACAAAAAAAAAAAAACAGTGAAGAAAAACCTACATGAATTATAGGATACCATCAAGCAAACCAATATTTGCATTATGAGATTTCAAGGAAGAGAATACAAAAAGAAAGCGTAAAAGGCTTAAAGAAACAATGGCTAAAAACTTCACAAATCCACAGAGAGAGAGAGAGACATCCAGGTAAAGGAAGTTCATAGGACCCCATGCAAAGACTTCACTGAAACACATTATAACAAAACTGTCAAAAATAGAAGATAAAAAGATAATCTTAAAAAGAGAAAGTGAAAAGAAACTCATCTCATACATGAGAACTCCCATAAGACTGTATCAGTGGATTTCTTAGCAAAAACCTTACAGGCCAGGGTGTGGTGGTGTGCACCTGTAGTTCCAGCTACATGGGAGGCTGAGGTGGAGGACTGCTTGAACCCACAAGATCAAGGCTGCAGTGATTACAATTGTGCCACTGTACTCCACCCTGGGCAACAGTGCGAGGGTCTCTAAAAAAGAAAAAACCTTGCAGGTCAGGAGACAGTTGGATGATATCATATTCAAAGTGCTGAAAGAAACAGACTGCCAAACAGGAATACTTTACCCAGCAAAGCTGTCCTTCAGAAATGAAGGCGAGATAAACACTTTCCCAGACAAACAAAAGCTGAGGGAGTTCATCAACACTAGACCTGACTTATAAAAAATGCTGAAGAATTCAAGCTGAAATAAAAGGAAACTAATTAGTTATATGAAAACATATTAAAGTATAAAACTCACTGGCAAATATAAATATATAACCAAATTCAGAATACTCTAAATTTGTAATGGTAGTGTGTAAACTTTGATATAAAGGTTAAGAGAAAAAAGTATTAAAAATAATTATAGTTACAATTTCTTCATGGTTACATAAAAAGATGTAAATACTGACATCCAAAACAAAATGGGGGGTCAGAGTAAAAAAGAGTTTTGTATGCAATTGAAATTAAGTTGTTAGCAGCTCAAAATAGACTGTTATAAGATGTTCTATGTAAGTCACATGGTAACAACAAAGTAAAAACCAATAGCAGATCCACAAAAGCATACCACTAGAGAAAATCATCTAATTGCAAAGACAGCAAGAGAGAAAGAACAGAACAAAGGGTCTACAGAACAACCAGAAAACAATCAACAAAATGATAGTAGTAAACCCTTAACTATCAATGATTACCCTGATTGTAAAAGGTTTAAATTCTTCACTCAAATAACATACAGTAGCTGAATGGACTGAAAAAACAAGACCAAACTGCATGCTGCCTACAAGAGACTCAATTCACCATTAAGGACACACGTAGTATGAAAATGAAGGGATGGAAAAGATATTCCATGCAAATGGAAACCAAAAGAGAGCAGACGAACCCATACTTAGATAAAATATACTTTAAATCAAAAGCTATAAATAGAAACAAAGTCCACAAGAGGATATGACAATTGTAAATATATATGCACCCAACATCAGACCACCTAAAATAAGTACATAAAGAAAATATTAACAGATCTGAAGACAGAAATAGACAGCAACACAATAATAGTGGACTTCAATACTCCACTTTCAACAGAAAAAAACAGACAGAAAATAAGGAAATATTGGACTTGAATGACACATTTGATTTGGGACCAGAGTGTTTTGAATTTTTTCAGATTTTGGAATATTTGCATTATATTTGCCAATTGAGCATCCCTAGTCTAAATCTGAAACCTAAAATGTTCCAATGAGCATTTCCTTTGACCATCATATCAGCACTCAAAAAAAGTTTCAAATTTTAGAGCATTTCAGATTTTGGATATTCAGATTAGGGATATTCAACCTTTATATAGAACATTCCATCCAACAGCAGCAAAATACACATTCCTCTCAAGCATACATGAAAAATTATTCAGGATAGATTATATATTAGG